TTTGGGCAGAGTAGACTTGTCCTTGGTCTGTCTTGCCGCTATTCAGGACCTTGTTTAGGAGGCTTTGGAAGTAGTGTCTTTTGCCTGCGTAAGTGGGGAAATGACCATCAGCAATGATTTTAAATCATTCATCCTACCTCAGGTACCTGGACTACATCCATGTCATGACCTATGACCTCCATGGCTCCTGGGAGGGCTACGCGGGAGAGAACAGCCCCCTCTACAAGTACCCAACTGCCACTGGCAGCAATGCCTACCTCAATGTGGTGAGTCCCTGCACAGATGCACAAGCAGACCAGAGATGATGATGTGAATCACATGGGGATTCAGGCATAAAATAGACATCAATTCTGCTCATGTCTCAGTTAGACAACTTGAATTTTCCTTTTAAGTACTGACCATATATCACTACCTACAACTTCACCAAAATGTTTTGAAGAACAACAGTAACTAATCCATCTGTCATTAACATCACACAATTTTACCTGTTACAACATAACTAAACACTGGCTTATCACCCCGTTGGGGCCTGTAGCTAATACGCTGCCATTGTAGGCTTATGCCATGAACTACTGGAAGGACAATGGGGCCCCAGCCGAGAAGCTCATCGTTGGATTCCCTGCCTATGGACACACTTTCATCCTGAGCAACCCCTCCGACCATGGAATTGATGCCCCTACCTCTGGTGCTGGTCCCGCTGGGCCCTACACCAGGCAGTCTGGGTTCTGGGCCTACTATGAGGTAGGTGGTTTGGGCTGTACAGTGCTCTGTGAATTCTAGGCGTGGGGCTAGAATCTGCTGAATTCTTGAATGTTGTACTGCCTGCTACCTTCCTGCTTCAAACAAGGTCACTCCAGCTGCTTAAAGTGTTTAAATAACATATTCATCTACTTAATCCAAATGAAGAGTATTTAATAATGCACAATATCCCTCCAAGCAACAGACCACATTGTTAAGGTCATTTATATTAGCACATAGGGAATAAAATGAATACACTTCTCCTATTACTGTGGGTTCCCCAAATTAAGCACTAAGAGTAGGGACAACATTTGAGTATTTGGAAAGCAACTGGATCTTCTCTACTGCAAATAAAAACCTATAATTAGAAAACTAAGGAAAACCCCCCAACTGGAGACACAAAAGAAAAACAAATCAGAGACAAGCATGTTTTTTCTTCCATGGAAGTAATAATTAAAAGATATGGATCTCCTGATGTTTTAAAGATCTGCACCTTCCTGAAAAATGGAGCCACTCAGGTGTGGGATGCCCCTCAGGATGTGCCCTACGCCTATCAGGACACGGAGTGGGTTGGCTATGACAATGTCAAGAGCTTCGATATCAAGGTAAGCTCAGCCCCTCAGATGTGCTGAGGTTCTAGCCCTGAGTTCCAGGAAATCAAACGACTCCTGTTGTCCTCTCTCTTTAAACAGGCTCAGTGGCTTAAGCAGAACAACTTTGGAGGTGCCATGGTCTGGGCCCTTGATCTGGATGACTTCACTGGCACTTTCTGCAACCAGGGCAAGTTCCCCCTGATCTCCGCCCTGAGGAATGCCCTCGGCCTACAGAATGCAAGTGAGTGACAGCAGGAGGATGCCCAGGTGTAAAAACACTCCTTCTCCAACTCCAAAGGCAGCCCTGACACCTACCCACCCCCATTGCCTAGGGAGCCTCTTCCTATTTCACCTCACTGCTCTTGCCCAGGTGAGAGACAAGTGCTGCATCCTTCTCCTACCCCTAAACGTCCACATCAGGAATTGCACGCTCTTATGGAAAAACCACACCTACCTGGGTGGGTTTTTCCAAGTCTGCTAAGGCTTAAAGGTGTGGCAGAGTCTCGAGAAATTATGTTGGCCTTCAATATAAGCATCTACTTCTCTATGAATCCCTTATTCGAAGTCTCTCTCAACCCACCTGGGGAGATTTAACAAGAAACCCTCACCCATGCTCATATATCTCCAATCTGTAATTCAGGGAATGTGTCAACTCCCTACACTATTTCCAGATTTTCTCTTAGAGTTTGTTCACCACTTACACCCAGATCCTAGAAAAGTGTTTTGCACATACTGGATGCTTAGTAAATATTTTTCAAATGATTTAGACTTCATAAGGGAAGAGTGACATTTTTTAAATTGAAAGCCAGGCTGGCTTGACATGGTAGCTTTTCCTAATTCCCGAGTATGGTGTTGCCTTCTGGGCTCCTCAGTTGCAGGGACCCAGAGCAAACTACACCCACTAACTACACCCACACCAGCACACCTCCACCCCAGTGCTCTTCATCTCCATGTGAAGCTTGGAGCCTCGACTAGGCCCACTAGTCTGCTCTTTGTGTTGTGTGTTTCAGGTTGCAAGGCCCCCGCTCAGCCCATTGAGCCAATAACTGCTGCTCCTAGCAGTGGCAGTGGCAGTGGCAGTGGGAGTGGCAGTGACAGCGGAAGCAGCAGCTCTGGAGGCAGCTCAGGGGGCAGTGGATTCTGTGCTGGCAAAGCCAACGGCCTCTACCCTGTGGCAAATAACAGAAATGCCTTCTGGCACTGCCAGAATGGAGTCACGTACCAGCAGAACTGCCAGGCGGGGCTCGTCTTCGACACCAGCTGTGAATGCTGCAACTGGGCATAAGCTTGCCCTGGGTTCTGAACAGTCTCCTGGCACCAGGACATCGTGCTCCTGCCTAACGTTCTGCAATAAAATCAGCAGTCAAAAACATGAGTGTCCCTGGTCTTAAGTGGTTTGGATGAAAACCTTTTCTAGATGTGAAAACACAGGCCCCTCATGCGGGTGGAGTGGCAGCAGAGTGTGTGTGAGGAAGAGGGGAGTCAACAGCCTTCTTCCTGCCTGCGTTCGTCTGCGTGAAGGTTGGAGGCTATATGGAGGAAATGTCTGAATGTTTGGTGCAGCGGTGGGATAAGGATATGAAGAGGACAGGTCTGCAGCCTGTGACAGTCCTCAGGAAGGAGCTGGAGGGGCACAGGCAGTGCAGCTTGGCTTACTAACGAGTGGGAGGCTGGGGTATTCCCTCCACTTCTGCTGAAGACCCAGAGCTGGTCCAGCTCCTCCTGGACTGGCAGCCTGGGGAGGAGCTGTGCAGCGGGCTCTGCGTAGGGCGTCTGCCCAGCCCGAAGGCCCGCAGGATCCCTTTCTCAGGAGACTGCTCCCATCACTGAAACACGCTGGTGGCCACCAGCTGCTGAGCTGGTACGCATCATCCCCTCCCCTGGCTTGGCTGTGACAGGAGTCAACATCCAACCCAAGAGGGCCAATCAGATCGTCACCCCTCAGAATTTGCAGCTGACAAAAAGAAATTGCCTGTCAGTCTCTGAGAGTGTCTAGGTCTGTAATATGTGAGCTCAGGAGCTGTAGTGAGAGATCGAGGAGAAGGAAAAGTTGCTCTGGGGCAGAGCAAGAAGCAGAGCAACAGAGGAAAGCCAGGATGCGAGGTAGAGAGAGAGCACTTACCAATAGATGGCTTTGATTATAGCTCCTTCCTGAGGCCAGATGCATTTCTGCCTGCCTTTGCGTTCTCTGAAACATCCCTATGATAAATATATAATAAATTCCCTATATAATGAATTCTTCTTTGCTGCTTATGCTGGCTCAAGTTTGTTTCTTTTACTTGCAAATAAGAAAGCCTAACTCAGCCAGGCATGGTGGCTCACGCCTGTAATCCTAGCACTCTGGGAGGCCGAGGCGGGCGGATTGCTCAAGGTCAGGAGTTCGAAACCAACCTGAGCAAGAGTGAGACCCCATCTCTACTATAATTGACCAACAAATATATATAAAAAAAATCAGCCGGGCATGGTGGCACATGCCTGTAGTCCCAGCTACTCGGGAGGCTGAGGCAGGAGGATCGCTTGAGCCCAGGAGTTTGAGGTTGCTGTGAGCTAGGCTGATGCCATGGCACTCACTGTAGCCTGGGCAACAAAGTGAGACTCTGTCAAGAAAGAAAGAAAGAAGGAAAAAGAGAGAGAGAGAGAGAAAGGAAAGAAAGAAAGAAAGAAAGAAAGAAAGAAAGAAAGAAAGAAAGAAAGAAAGAAAGAAAGAAAGAAAGACTAATATAATAAGAATATAATGGCTCAGTTTTTTTTCTGGCATGCTCAGTATGTGTCAAACTTTTCTGAGTGTTTTACACATATTTTGTTATTTAGCTTTCCCAGAAACCTTATAAGATAGATAACATTAACTCCAGGAACCTGAAGCACAGAGGAATTAGTTAACCTGCCCGTTGTCACACAGCTAGTTAGTTGCACAGCCAGATCCAAAGCCAGACAGGCGACCCCAGAACTCACAGTCGCATCTGCTATTAATATGTTTTTTGGCCTCCCTTGACACAGACCACGGTGTTCTCGTGGGAGATGACAGCACTGTGACAGTGACGAGGTACACCCAGCTCTCCGGGTAACGTCATTCATTCATGAACTCACTACACTTACTATTATGTGCCAGGTGATGTTCTCGCTACTGAAAACATGGTGGTAAATAAGACAAAGACTCCACTCCCATGGGGATTACATTTTGCTGGTGGAAGTGTTAGATAGTAAATCAGCCAATGAGGAAATGAGGAAAGTGAAAATGGTGATTGAAAGTGGCCAGGGAGGGACGACTTCAGTTTGGGTAGTCCAGGAAGGCCTCCCTGGGGAGGTCCCATATGAGGTGGGCCTTGACAGTCAAAAAGAGCCAGGTGTTTTGAGATCTGGGAAAAGTGCATTTCAAGCAGAGGGTAGAGCAAGTGCAAAGTTCTTCAGGTGGAGATGAGCGTGGCACGTTAGATACACGAAGGTCAGTGTGGCCATGAGGTGGGGGCGGGGGGGGCAGAAACAGGTAGGGTTCAGATCATACAAGGTGTCGAAACATGCTTAGAAGTTTGGGTTTTGTTGTAAGTGAGCCCGGAAGCCACTGGAAGGTGATGGCAGAGACAGGGTGGTGGTCACAGGATCTACATTCAACATTGATGAGTTGGGGACAGAAGAGCAATAAAAAATAAAATATGGACAATAGCACTCTCGGTGACTGTAGCTAATAAATTGACTCTTGAGCACTTACATAACATGCATTAGAGATAGAAGACCTAGAAGTGGGAGACTTGTGTCCTGAATGAGCAGGCAAAGGCAAGAGTGAGTAAAATTACATATTGTTATGAAGGTCATTACATTTCTACTCAAAGAATGATGAAGTCTGGAGTAAAATAAAGTATAGGAAGTCCTTTTGGAAGGAGTTTTCTATTTAGGTCACTACTAAGGCAAATGGCATCGAGGGAGGACATGAGGATGTGGGGCTCTGGACTGGATGACAAGCGGACATGAAGTCAGCTGTTGGCTTTGAGGAACAGCATCATTAAACAACACAGTGGCCAGTGGCTAGATCACAGTGGTTTTCCATACTAACACCTTTAACATGGCCACTATTTTCCCACAAAGATTAATTCTGCCACCATTTCTAGAATGCAGAAATTACTGCAGCCTAAAAAAATAGTGCCCCCTATTTTCCTTTTATTTTTACATAGTAATTATTCACTCAACAAATGTTTACTGTGTGGCTACCATATGCAAGAAGATGGGCATGAACTAGCCCCCATGACCACTTTGACCTCACTACAATCCTCACTCACTCCGTTTCAACTGTGTCACCTCCTTGCTGTTTCTCAACTGTTCCCTGCATGTTACTGCCTTGGGGCCTTTGCAAGAACATGCTTTCCCTAGATTTCCATTTGACTGCTTCCCTCACTTCCATCAAGATTTTCCTGGAAGTCACCTTCTCAGTGAGGATTTTGCTGGCCACTCAACCTAAGATTGAAACCCCCTTTCTCCTCTCCCTACTGTTCTTCCTTTGCTTTTCCTTGACACTCATCACTACCTGACATATCACTCATTTTATGTATTTACCTTTTTTATTGTCTACTTCCTCCACTAGAAGTAACCTCCAAGAGGATAAGGATTTCTGTTCCCTGCTATATCCTCACTGTCTAGAACAGAGCCTGGCATTTTATGAGAGTTTAATTGGGAGCTTTTGAATTTAGATGAATGAGGGCATGAAGTGAGATAGGAATTAACAAATTGAGCATTCCAAGTACTGGACAAGGTACTTTATACAAGTTATCTCCTATGTGGGGAATATTGTCCCCAAGATACAGGGTGACAAAATTGAGGCCTTGTGAGGATAAATAACTTGCCCAGGATCACGTAGTTGGTAATCAGTAGAGCTAATTCTCACAATTAGGTTTTTCTGGCTCCTTTTATGCCACAATGCTTCCTTGCCAAAAGCAATGTCACAATGACTTAAAGAGGGACTTCCAGAGCGGGGCTGTTGCTTAGCAGCCAGTCTTAGCTACACCCTTCATATTCTTGGTTAAAGTCCACAGATGAGGGTGGTGAATCATGGAGATAATATACGAGAAATCCAAGTTCACTGCAAGTCCCTCTCAGGGACGGATCATGGTCAAAGCTTCGCAGAAATCCTTCAAGTCCTTGCCATATGACCTGCCTGGGAACAAAAGCTCACAGTGGATCAACAAGCAATACCTTTGGGACTTTGATCAAGGTAATTATGTTCTTGGACTCTAGCACATGTATAAAGACGTATCCTTTCAGTGTTAGAGTCTAACTGGAAAGAAGTGGGATGTGCACAGGATTCCATAAGGGCCCAGATCCTAGGTGAGGGCATGGGGAGCTAGCTGCAGCCTTGCAGCCCTGCATCCCTGGGCATGGAGGTGGTAGACTGGAAGTGCACTAACATTTGTTAAATGCCAACTGTAGGTTAGTCACTCACTGTGCAGGATTTGTGCCTGTGTTAGCTCCCAAATTCTCGTGGCAGCCCTAGGAGGAAAGAAATGATTAGTGCCATTTTATAGATAAACCAAGGCTTAGGTAGTTTAAGTAGTTTCCATAAGGTTATGTAACTATTAAATGGCATACAGCCCTTATTGAAAGCCAATTCTGAGGGACTTTAAAGACTTTGTTCATTCCTCTACCCAGATGAGAGAGGTTGGCTGTAAGAAAGTCTAGAAAGTAGGATTTAGAAAGTCTATTTCCTTCCCCTCTGTCTCTCTTCTCCAGAGTTGAGATCCAGGAGGATTTCTATTCTCTGGATCAAGGGTTCTCAACCCTATTCAGACCCCAAACCTGCTTTGAGTAACAGATTATAACACCCTATGTGTTATTCTAAAATTAAAATTAATTCATGGATAATATAACCTACCACATATAATTTTACAAACAACTCAATATAGTGCCATAACTGTAAGGTAAAGGAGAAAAAAATAATTATTAATAAAATAATATGGATGTCAGTATATAAATGTTCAGATATAACTACTTTAGAGACAAGGGAGCACTTAAGGTTTTTGTACCATATGTTGTATAATGAATAAGTCTAGAATTATGAGAAGGCTAAAAGTCATTTCATACAATCAATTTAGGAAAGTTAAAGGACAGAATTATAAGTGGATACCACAATAAAAACTAGTATTAGGAAAACTAAAAACACTCCAGATTTACTGTTTTCTGATAGTAAATAGCTTTAGTGGAAATAGGGATAATACCTAGGAATATTACAAACCACTGAAGTACAAAAAGGGAGGGATACGAATATGTTATTCTTGAAAAGTGAGTGAACAATAGCAATGAGCTTCTCCAGGGTTGTCATATTTTTTTAAAATAAACTAATTGGTCTATAATACATACCAAAAAGGATCCAGATTTAATAAAACATGCGAATTTCCTGGTGTAAGCAGAACCCTGTTCAAGGAACAGGACATCACTATCCCACTAAAAACCCTCCTCATATCCCCCCGCTACTCCCCCCACACTCCTCTATCAAGGGTCTCCCTACCCTGAATTCTAACCATAAATTAGTTTGGCCTATTATTAAATTTTATATAAATTGATTCAGTGTGTAAATGATCATGACTGAATTATTTTATTCGACATCATTAATCTGTATTATTGAATGTATATGATTGTACATGATTTTGTCCATTTTTTTGCTGCATAGTACTTCTTTGTATGAATATTCCACAATTTATTTTCCATTCTATTGTTAATGGACATTTTTGTTTCAAATTTGGGGCTATTACGGATAATAATGCTTTTAACATTCTTGTACATGTCTTTCAGTACACAACTGTGTGCATTCCTACTGAGTAAATACCAAGAAGTAGAAATTATTAGGTCATAAAAACATCTGTTCAGCTTTATGAAAGATTGCTAGACAGTGTTCCAAAGTTAAGGTATCTATTTACACTTCCACCAAAACAGTAGTCAATAGTTCCAGTTGCTTCATATTCTTACCAGCATGAGGTGTTAATCTGACTTCATAACTTTAGCCATTTCTCAGGTATCTCATTGTGGTTTTAATTTGCACTTCCTTTATGACTACTGAAGTAGAGCACTTTTTATAATTTTACTGGCCACTTGGATGTTCTTTTTTTGTGGGGTGCCCATTCAAGTCTTTTACTCATTTTTTTGCTAGACTGTTTTCTCTTACTGATCTGTAATGGTGCTTCATATATTCTAGACTAGCATTGTCTAATGAAAATACAGTGTGAGCAAGATGTATAATTTTTTTTAATTTTCAAGTAACCACATTAAAAAAGAGTAAAAAGAAATATGTGAAGTTAATTTTAATATGCTTTATTTAATCCAATATATCCCAAATATTATCAATTTCAACACATAATCAATATAAAATTTATTAACGAGAAATTTGTATTCTTGTTTTCATTCTAAGTCTTTAAAATCTGGTGTATATTTTGTGTTTATACACATCTCTGTTTGGACTAGCCACATTTCAAGTGCTCAATAGCTGCATATGTGTAAGGGCTACTGTATTGGACAGCACAAGTCCAGATGTTTTATCACTTATATCTTCTCTCATACCTTGACTTACTTTATCATTCTCTTAATGGTGTATCTTTTCAAATTATTATTTTGAAACACTCTCAAACCCATTAAAAAAGAGTACAAAGAATTCCTTTATCCTCTTCACCCAAACTCCTCAATTGTTAAATGTTACTTTTCTCTCTTGCACATGTTTGCACTCTCTCTCTCTCTCTCCCCACTTTTCTTACATCATGCCCCATCCTCAAAAAAAACTTCACTGTAACTCTCCCAAAGATACACTCCTATATTACAACCACACAACCTACCAATCTGAAAATCAGCATTGATACAACACTACTACTAACATTAAATCCACATACTCAATTCAAATTTTGTCAACTGTCCCAAGAACATATTTTCCTATCTTACCCAGGATCCTATCCAGGAATTCGTGATGCATTCAATTATCATGCCTCATCAATATCCATCAATTCAGAATAATTCCTCATCCTTTATTTGTCTCTCATATCCTTGATAGTCTTAAAAAACACAGGCCTTTTATTATGTAGGAGGACCCTCAACCTGAGTTCATTTCAGATTGTGGTGGCTGGCTAAGCAAGTCCAAAATCCACAGGGCAGGCAATCAGAAAGGGAAAATCATGGGCAAGCTGAGCCCCATGGGCTGAAGCTGTTATCCACAGGTAGAATTTCTTCTCCTCTCTCCTCCTCTCTCTCCTCAGCACTGCCTTTTTAAAGCCTTTCAACTGATTAAATCGTGCCCATCCAGATTAACCAACATAATCTCCTTTATTTAAAGTCAACTGATTAGGGACTTTATTTATTTACATCTCCAAAATGCCTTCACAGTAAAACCTAGACAAGTGTTTTATTAGATAACTGGGAACTGCAGCCTAGCTAAATTGATTATCAAAAGTTATCACAGGAAATGTCTCTATATTACACCAACATCCTGATCCTCATGAATCCCTACTCATCAGGTTTAGCACCCATTTATAACTTCTTCCCATACCAACTATCACTATGATGGCTGCCAAATGATTACCTATTGCATCATTCTCTCTTCATTTATTAGTTGGCATTATACTATAAGAAGGTGGTTTCCCTTCTTATTAATTTATTTATATCCGTACGGACTTATGTGTTCCCATTTTATTCAGCAGATTGCAATATGGTGACAGTGGGCATTCTTAATTTTAATCTCAGAAGAAAAATGTATATTTGCTATAGGTTTTTATAAATAATATTTATCAGATTAAGAAAGCTATTCCAAACTTGCTAAGAGATTTATTATTTTTCTTTTCTTTTTTTTTTTTTTTGAGACAGAGTCTCACTTTTGTTGTCCAGGCTAGAGTGAGTGCCGTGGCGTCAGCCTAACTCACAGCAACCTCAAACTCCTGGGCTCAAGCAATCCTTCTGCCTCAGCCTCCCAAGTAGCTGGGACTACAGGCATGCACCACCATGCCCGGCTAATTTTTTGTATATATACTTTTAGTTGGTCAATTAATTTCTTTCTATTTTTTTTAGTAGAGACGGGTCTCGCTCAGGCTGGTTTCGAACTCCCGACCTTGAGCAATCCGCCCCTGGCCTCCCAGAGTGCTAGGATTACAGGTGTGAGCCACCACGCCGGCAGAGATTTATTATTTTAACCACAAGTAGACATTGGTGCTATTGCGTTGTTTCCATCTATTGAGATGATCACTTTTTAAAATTCTGTTAATATAATAAATTACATTTATTTTATTTTATTCACCTGCATTTCTGGGTGAATCTAACTTTGTCATGAAATGACTGTATTTTGTTTGCTAAATTTTGTTTAGCATTTTTGCATTATAGTCATAAAGAGAAACCAAGAGTGGTGGCATGTGCTGCAGTCCAACTACAATCTGAGGCAGGAGGATTGCTTGAGCCCAGGACAAGACCACCCTGGGCAAATAATCAGAACTTGTCTCTATAAAATGAATTTTTTATTAAATTTTTTTTACCAAAATTGGTGTGCAATTTTTTTATTTATAATGTCATTGTCCAGTATTTATATTGTTTTGTTAGTCTTATAGAATAAACTGGGAAACAGTCTCTCTTTTTATGTTATCTTGATTAGCTTGTATAGAATTAGTGTTTTTCCTCTTTAAATATTTGGTAGAACTTTTGTGAAGTCATCTGAGTCTGTATTTCTTTTGGAAAGGTTTAAATTATGAATTCTATTTCTTTATTAGAATAATTTGAAGTTATACTTTTTTAGAAATGTATCCATTCATCTAAATCTTCAAACTTATTGAAAAATATTTTATGATTTCATTTAATGTCAATTTTTTTTTTTTTTTTGAGACAGAGTCTCGCATTGTTGTCCAGGCTAGAGTGAGTGCCGTGGCGTCAGCCTAGCTCACAGCAACCTCAAATCCTGGGCTCGGACGATCCTTCTGCCTCAGCCTCCCGAGTAGCTGGGACTACAGGCATGGCCACCATGCCGGCTAATTTTTTTTTTATATATATATCAGTTGGCCAATTAATTTCTTTCTATTTATAGTAGAGACGGGGTCTCACTCTTGCTCAGGCTGGTTTTGAACTCCTGACCTTGAGCAATCCACCCGCCTCGGCCTCCCAGAGTAATGTCAATTTTTAATGTCTGTACAACTTGTCATAATCTCCCCCTTTTCCTTTCACATATTGGCAGTTTGTGTCTTCTCTCATTCTTTTTCCTAA